GCATAAGTAACATGTTCAACAATGTCCTTAAGTATTTCTGATCACTGACAGCGTGTTGATCCATAATATTTCAGTGTTTCCCTTATAAATAATCTCTTTATCTTAGACTATGCGGAGCCACTATTTTACCTTTTGCATTTACTGTAAGTGATCTAAATGTTTTACTGTTGAATAAAAATTTTAATGGCAGACTCTGCCTGAATTGGCAAAGATACTTAACAACGTTTTGTCAGCCTGTGGAATTATTGAGATTTTTAACTTAGGAAAAACATATATCATTCTTGTTCTTTTATTAAAAAAAGAAAAAAAATCTAAAGGATAGAAAGAAATAAAAACACCATTCCTAAATTGAAGACTATCTTTGGGATGAACTCACACTATTATGATTTTGGTGGCTAGGACAAGTTCCTTGTCATGAATTTTTTTATGGTTAGTCATATATGTACAATCAGCCTTATTATCAATGGCATGGAATTAGATGATTATCTGGGCAAAAATTTGTCTATGATAAAGAGTTGGAAAAAAGGTATATATTTCATTTTGTCTGACAAAAGTGGACATGGAACAAAGTAAAAAAAACCACTCAGCTTCATAAGAGGCATACATTGGGTAATTATGTTCTTTGAATTATTGAATTTTTTTTTTCCTTTCAATTTTTCAGCATCTAGTATTTTAAGTCACTTTTACTTTTACTTATTCTAAGCACTTAGCACAATTGGGATAACTGGGCCCTTCCTGGTCAGGTTTTCTTCTGCTTTGCTTCTAATACAAGCAATACTTTGGGCAGCTTTCTGCTTATTCCAGGGCCCCTTTTCTGAAGGCTTTGATTGACATGGGGACACATGGGCACACATCCCTGCATAGTAGGAAAATTCATCTATGCTAGCTAGTCACAAGGTTTCTAGATAAAAGGAGCTATTCATTTCAGCAATGCATCAACCCCTTTGTTTTCTTCTCTCCTACTCTCCTTTTCATTTTTCAAGGCTTATCAGTCTTAGTATTTTGTTTCTCTGGACTCCTTAGTGGTGGCAAAAAATAATGTACTTCTTGGATATTTTGACTCAGTGCTTTCCTATAGATGGGTAAACCTTGCACTCCGTGCTACAGATTTACCATAAGTTAATATTTAATGAACTCTTGGCTGAAGAAACAAAAGGCTTTATATATCTGCCCTTTGGCTGCTAACTTCTGATAAAGTAAGTAGAAAAGAAGTAGAAAAGGAGCAAGACCTATTTCTTCCTACTGTTAAAAACAGCAGAAAGAAAATGGAGTAAGATGAAAGACTACAAAAAGAGAAAGATGAAAGACTACAAAAAAACCCAATTATATATTTTCAATGGCAAATTCTGAACGCATTTTCTGTTAGGTTTACAGGACTAATCAAGCATTATGTTCTGGTAGCCAGTCCCTTGTGGATGCATTAAGTTTCCACCACTGGTGTCTAGCATCCCTTCCTCAAGATAAATGCTTTTTTGCTTTAATAAAAGAAATCTGGCATGAAAAATGGAAATTAATGGAAGTGAGGTGTATGTCAATTTTGAATTTCACTTGAAAAAAAGAATAAACTTAGTTGAAATAAATCAATTCTTCCCAAGAAGCCTGATTTTTTTTTCAGGTTCCATTTTATATATGTTTTCACTTGCTTGATTCACTGATGCAAGAAGATGTCCCATTGAGCTCAAAGAATGACATAAATTTACTGAGCACAATAGGGCAACAGGAGAAAGGGGTTATATGATGATCATGTAAACCTTAGCTGGCCACCCCAGAGCTGCAGATTCATTACAATCCCTCGAAGGATATAAGGACTCTTGTCCTGTTCAGTCGTGATGTGGCAGCCTCTTGCTATCCTAATAATTATTCAATCATCTCTGTTGCATATTTGTACATACTTTGTGCACTTCTGAAATTGGCTCAAGATACTAAAGTTTAGGCCACAAAAATCTATAAACTAATTTAATAGTTAACAGGCAAATATGTTTCCCTCACTTGGTAAACTTTAGGAATAAATACCTAATTTGACTTAGGAATGAATGATAAATGTTGGCATCTTTTATACTACATTTACTTGTGGTACACTGTGATCTGGATCCTATAAACAGCAGATTGATGAAATTTATGTCAGAAACTTGGGTTGGATCCCTTTTTGATCCTTTTCAATCCCATGATTTTATGGTTAAAAAGACTGACAAGTTGGAAGCAATTTAGAAATGGATGAGAAGGAAAAATAAGGTGCCTGAAGAAGTAATGCTAGTGTGGTTGCATGGAGAGGATGGTGCCACCCTACCACAGAAAACTTAAGAAAAATCTATAAAAAGCAGTTCTGTGGACATTTTTAAGTTGTGCAAAGCATGAATTACACCACTGGTTTATGGAAAAACAAATGTAACAATTTCAACTGGGGATATGGGAAAAGCCCAAAAAATAATAATACAGTAAATAAAAAGTAATTTTGAATCAAAACTCCAGCACAGAATGAAAAAGATAGCAATCCTACCATATATATATTATTGGCATAACAAAGATTTACATTTAGGGGAGACTTTTGTTAATTCTGAAATGCATTGTATATATAATCTTACCTAGCAATTTGAATAGTGGCTAGGTCACTGAGTTTTTATATAAGTGGTGGTTCAGCAGTTATATTCCAAATTACAGAGTAGAACTGAGAAGAGTTTGTTTTAAACAAGTGTGATGTAGCTAAAGTTCCCAATGTCATTTGCTAATGGGTTTTCACATACAATAATAAAGCATGCCTTATGCTATTTGTATCATAACATCTGCAGCAGTTACCATGAATACAGCAAAATAGTGTTATCCTCTGCATGTTTACCCAGTAAACATCCCAATTTGATTTATCCCATGTGGATGCTAGGATTCAGACCAAAGGTCAAATTTAAATCCTTGCTTTTACTTTATACTGGGTTCATCTCAAATGGATATCTATTCTGCAAAAGATAGAAAGATTACAGTGTATTGAAGAAAACATAACTGAAATGTGCATTACACAGGGAAAACTGCTTTCTTCTAAAATTAAAATGATATTATTCAGATGTCCATCTAGAGTACCTAAATATTTGGTTTCTCTGTCGTAGGATATCTGCAAGAAGCAATGGATGGAAATTAATCAAGGAGAGAACCAACCTAAAGCTAAGGAGAAATTTCCTGACAAAACAATTAAACAGTGGAATGAGTTGTCACCAGAAGTTGTGGGTACTCCAACACTGGAGTTTTTAAGAAAAGATTAGACAACCATTTGTCTGAAATGGTATAGGGCAGGGGTGTCAAACTGCTGGCCTGCGGCCTGGATGCGTCATGGCAAAACCGTGGCCACCCCATTGCCAGTAATGGAAAAAAAGTCACAATAGGTTGCGACACATCACATGATGTTGTGAGTTTGATATCCCTGGTATAGAGTTTCCTATTTGAGTTGGAAGTTGGACTAGAAGGCATCCAAGGTTATTCTGTTTTGTAAAGCTGCTGCAGATGTTTAGTGTATACTAAACTATATATGTTGTTCTATTATTAATAGTAATAATATTGGAAAAATAAATAGAACAGAAAGCTAAAGTATCTCTATTTAAAAATTAACTAAAAATACAATTGCTCAGTATTTATCACTTTAGCTAAAGATAATGACTGATCATTTATGTGATAATTCTTAAGAAGATAGATTGGAAGATGGCAGCAGAATAAATAATACAATAATGGAAGGCATAACCAGAAAGAGAAAAATCAAAAACAGATGGCACAAGACAGCTAAAGCAATCTAAGGTTTGAGAGTACTATGAAAGAAGATGCAAGACATCTTTCTAAATGCCTCAGTTGATCTCCAGAATCCTGATATTTCTCCTTGCATTCAGTGAATTCTGGAGTTCTGCCATGTTTGTAGCCTAGTACACAAGTGGAAAATTTGTTAGGCAATCTCGTTGGAGTGTGATTAAACTTCCTTAATGGCTATCAACTGAATATTTTTAATATATTCTACGTTACGCTCCCTGAAGCATTTTAACTATTGTGCTATTAGTAAAATATTTTTATTTATATAGGAGAATTGGAAAACTGGAGAAAAACAAGTTCATAATAATTGCTTTATTGTTTTTAACTGGAATTCTACATTCACTGTTCCTTTCTCCAAAACCCTAAAAGATTTTGCAGAGCTTCAAGATGAATCACTAGCAGAACATGCTCAAAGCCCAATTTTCCATTGCCATATCATGGAAATTCCCTAAGACATCACTCTGAAGTTTTGCTACATCAGATTTCCCATACTCATAACATTTAAATATTTATACAGTATATTCCAAATTTTGCTACATAACTGACTGAAGCTGAAAGTTATATGGTATGATCTTAGGTTATAAAGAAATTAATAACCATAGATAGATTTGTGAATAGCGCATTCTCACTTTTTATATTTTGTATCATATTTTTCTTTTATTCATATTTTTCCACAATTACATTAGCCAATTGGCAAATAAATTCTTCATGCATATCCATATTTACGGCATAAGTTTTTATGTGTAAATTGAAACATAAAATGTGTATCTAATTTTACTTATAAAAAGCCACTAAGAGATAAAATATGTTTTTATATCTGTTTCTACACATTTTATGCATTTAAAAGTAATTATATGAATACATTTTCCAGTATTTTTATTATTATGGATAGTTGGTATTCTGATGTCTCTGCTTATCAGATCAGTTTGTAAGATCCCTGATCCTCTAGAACTGAATAGAACTAAATATCCTACACACAAATTCACAAACTTGTGGAAAGTTTTCTACAATAATCCCTATCCTAAACAATGTCCCTTAGGTGTATACACTTCTTGCTTTTTGGTATAGTCTGTACAGTTAATTTATTTATTTGCTTAAATCATCTACATATTATAATTACATATTATAATTTACATATTATAAATTTCTGTCTCCCAGCCAGAGGTATCTATTTTTGCCTACAAAATCTTTTGAATTTTATGGTTGAGTGTAAATCTTACCTTTGTTTAAGGAGTTGTTTATTGTCTTCAATAGTTATGCTATCTACATAATCTCTCTTGAAAATTTCAAAGGCTTCTTGGCGTCCAAGTGACATTTCTTTTCCCACTCCTATTCAAGAAATATATCAGAATGGGTTGATTTGTAGAAATAATATTTAAAAGTAATAACAGTTCAAGTGGAGTTCAGCTCTTAGTAATAAACAGACTACTTGGCTACTGCAGAAATGGTTTGCCAATGCATTCTTCTGGGAGATTTTTGTCTTCCCTTTCTGAAAACAATCTTAGAATTCTCAGGTGATTCCCCTATCCATGTTCAAACCAATATACTGTACCAATGAGTTCGAAGTGATGCTTGTGTGCAGAGAGGATCACTTATGAAACATTTATTTCTGAATTATTAAAGCAATTACCTGTTTTTCCAGATTTTCAAAGCTGCTTTAACAGATGCTCCCATCTATCTCTGCATATGTGCACATGCACAGCTGCTTTATTTTATTATTATTATTATTTTCTAATGAAGTAAACTGGCTGTGCAAGTAAAGACATGCAGAGACAGTCAGGAAAACATTCTGAAAAAGTTATGGCTGCTTCACTTGGCTCCATATATTCTGAAGCACCTCTTTTAGAAGTTACATAGTCCTACTAATCTGGGCCAAGCATTTTTAGCTTCCAAATCAGTCAAGATAAGTTAATGGCTCCTTAAGATTAATTAGAACTTCTGAGAAAATATACAAATTGGACTATGTGAAAAAAATTCTATGGAACTAAAAATCTTGTTAATTTACTTATACTATTGGCCAATTTTTTTTTTCCTCCCAAACCACTCTGGGTCCTGTCTGTCTTTTTTGGAATCAGCACAGCAACCACTTTCATACTAAATTAATCAGTTTCTGTAGTCTATGAAAACTTAAATGTCATTTATAGACTCAATGGTATATCTAAAATGACAGAATTAAATTTATTTCATGTCATCTGAAATTCATAAGCCCAAATATTTTGCATGTTTCTTCTTAAACAGCTATTAATGTCTCCCTAATTAGAACCTGAGGGTCAAAATTCAAAGCAATTTGTCTTTTCCAAAATTACTGATAATTTTTCCTTACATTTTTCTTCTATTTACTATTTTGGTTTCCAGTATCATACTATAAAATATGATTATTGGTAACAGATCAAGAAACAAGGGTTGTTACCTCAGCTCCAAATTCCCATTAGTTTATATGGTCAGGATACTGGAGCCATGTCAACTTTCATTCAATTGGAACAAAACCATTTTGAAGAATTTGAGCTCATTAGTTAGAGGAGGACTATTTATTCTGACCTTGAAACAAAATATGTTTTCTGTTTTCATATACATCCCTATTAAATATGCATTTTGCAGGACGCCTGCAGAAACCATTACTGAGTTGAGCCAACAAAGAGACAAAAGCAATGAGTTTATTAACACTTTCATGAATTTATATAGCAAGAGCAAAAATATGCAATTTTAAGTATTAGTTTGGGGCTTCCTTATATGCACTGTATACACTTTTACAGTTGATAACCTGGCTGAAAAACAAAGTATATCTCACACAGAATACATATGAATAGCATTAAATTATAATGTATGATATCTATTCCATACTGAGAAGTGATAGAAAATGATGGTAATTAAATGTTTGTTCTAATTAGCTTAGCCAGACGTAAGAGTGTTGAAAATTTGCATGCTGGTTTTATTGATGTTTTATGGAAAATAATGTAACTGTGTAGGTTCAGACAATATTTTAAGCCACAAATCACAACAATTATATCAACAAAAATGTTAATTCAAATTACAATTTATTCCAGTTACGATATAGAGACCTGAATTCCTACAATGTATTCTCACCATGAGAACTCTCGTCTAGACACCCAGACTTCTGGATGATATCCAAATTGATAAAAGCTGGTTTAGCATGAAATGTGAACATACCCACTGCAATTCTGAGCATTACAACTATCAAAGTTATTGACTGATATCTCTGGAGTAATAATTGTCAAAAGATTATCTATTTGTTTATTTATTTGAGCAGGCCTTGTGAGTCCAGGAGGACCCCCAAATGTACACTGGGTTTGTCTGGGGTAGTGCTACTCCATCCAGAATTAATAATAAATAACCAGATCCTGAGGTCCCTTGCATTCACAGTCACTGTCTTGCTGATTTGAAACATAACTTAAAGTGACAGTACATATTTAATAACATTAATATATAGTAGCTTGGGCATACTTTAGCCAGTATGCCACACATGCAATCAAAACCCAGTTTATTCCAGCATGCTTATAGTAGTCTGTGTAAAAAGGTTATCTCAACAGATTACCTTCCAACTAATTTAGTGTTACCCACATCTCACTAACTAGAAGATACAGTATATGCACTGACCATTGATGCTCATTATTAAAAACACCTCAAACATTAATAGGAATAGGATAGAAGGAGTGACTTTTTATTAGAAATATTTTTAACTTGTCCCATTAAACTCATATTATAAGAATATACATGTGAGATGGACATCTCATGTCAAAAAGACAAATCAGAATTGTAAGAAATACTTATATAGGCTCTCAGTCCAAGACAGTTTGCATAAAAATTTTACATACTGAAAAACCTAGGATAAATAAAAGACAAAATCAATGCAAGAAAATGCTGAGAAATGTGAGAAAGTTGATGAGCTAGTAGTAAGTAATTATTCTCTTGATTATATATTTTAGTTAATAATAAAGATTTATAAAACTTTCAAAGGTATTCATCCTGTGTTCAGGAATGTATTCATTCACACATTATTTTGTTCCTTCTTTTTTGCTATCACCAGCCTGAAAACATCTCCTAACTCAGTTAACTAGTAACATTTATCTTTTTTTCCTTTTAAATTTCTGTGAAATCAAGTAAACTGCATTATTATAAAAACTTGTTTTAGTCAGAATAGAATGTTTCTTCACAGTTCTTTATGCAGAAAAAAAATTCTCTGTTGGGAAGAAATCTTTAGACATAAATGCATCATAAATATAATTTTTCCCTACAAGTATTAAGATTTCAGATGGTATTAGATGATATTTCAACTGTCAATTCTTCAAGCTGTAGTAGCAATAAATATTCTAAAGACTGAAGGAATCTAGAGTAGCAATAAATAATTAATAATATTTTAAAATTTCTGAAGGAATTTAAGGAAGCTATTGGTATGTATGTATATAATAAAAAAATTCTCACCCTTATGGTTGGTATGTGTCTGTATCTTGGGTCCTCTACTACCATGTGCATCTGTGTGTGTTTGTGTGGGGGAGGGGCATGTGGGCATACTTGTGAGTGCGTGGATGAGCATTCTATATAAATAGCTTAAATAAAATTTGTATAAAATACTTTATTTTGTAATAACTCTATTTTATGCAAGAGTTTTTCTGGTATCGTCATCTCCATTTGCTGAGAAAAGCGAATGGTAAAGTTTCAGAGATAGAGAAAACTAAACCAAACAGAATCAAGATTAAAAAAGAAAAGTATCCATATTAATCCCACTCCTCTTAAAGGTTTCAGCAAACTTTATTATGAGGGACATATACATCTGGATACCTTCACTGGGCACAGTTTTTGAAATAAAAACTACATTAACAAAACAGTTTACTATATTTCTATAGTCTTATACTGCAGAATCTATCACAAATCTTCAAAGAGAAAAGGGATTCAATGTATTGCATCTTTGGCTCTGTTCTGTAACCTCTGCCATTATCTATCTATATACTACTAAAACTCTCGTGTCTGTAACTTTAATTGGGTGAAATTGTGCATCATAGGGTAAAACGTTTTGAACCAAGGTACCTCAGATGGGCTAATTTACAGAATGCATCCAAAATCCCTGCATCTGGGGAATTGAAATTGGCAGATTTATAAAAGATTTTATAACATAAAATTATCATAAAACATTTATAATATAATACAAAATGTCATAAACAATTTCCAATGATTCACTCCTGACATTTGACTGTGCTATACAATTTAACATGGATTGCTTTCAAGGCAGATGCAGCTCTGAATGTGTCCCTGAATTTTTAAGAACTTTTCAGGTGAAAGCAGTATATATTAGAAGTGCTGCCACTGTTGAAGGCTTTAACGAATCTGGTAAGGAAATATATCTGAAATGATGGCCACGGGGTCATGGGTTGTCTAGTTCTCTTCACATATGATCATAATTTCACATATAATCATAATTTTAGAGGTAAGCAATAAGGATCTCTAAGATATGGTAGCCAGCAATATTACACTGACAATAAGAGAAGAGGATAATCTAGTTATTATAGAAACTGATTTACACAAATAAAACCCTATCTTTGAGTTGCAGCATAATCAGAGTAAACAAGAATAAAAATAGGGTGTCTTGGCCAATTTTAGAATCTCTAGCAATGACTTCATGCATATGAACACACACTTTAAAAGCCCCCAATTAGTAGGTACAAAGAGGAAAGCTGGGCTGGATTAAAGCATGTCAGAACTGGCAGAAACTAGTAGGAATAGATAGAAGCAAATCTGAAGTCAAAGCCACAAGAACTTCATGAGCCCCACCCAGTGTTGCTACCACATCCAAACCCAAAAAAAGTTTATATTTTATCAGAAATCTCTCTCTCTCTCTCTCTCTCTCTCTCTCTCACACACACACACACACACACACATACACACAAAGACAAAAAGAGAGAAGGACACACCTGCACATAAACTTTTTAACAAATTATTGGACATATATTCTGCTTTGAATTAATACAGTGCCTAATACAGTGGTTCTCAACCTTTTTAATGCCGCGACCCCAACCAGTCATAAGTCGAGGACTAAGCAACCGGTCGTAAGTCGAGGACTACCCAACCGGTCATAAGTCTAGGACTTTCCCTGCCTGGGAGTGCCACGCATGCGTGGTGCCGCCCCCTGCGCCGGCCGAGGTGTAGCTGGCAAGCGGCAGAGACGGAGCAGGCCGACCACCGGCTGGGTCACCAGCTGGTCCAGCCCAAGGGAGGTAAGGCACCCGCTGGGCCCCATGCACGCCAGCAACCCTCCCTGCGCCCGCCGGCCTCCCACCTCCCACCCCTGGCCCTCTTTTACTTACATTTTTAGTAGT